CGGGCCTGATGGGATTTATCCAAGGATTCTATGGGAAGCGAGGGAAGAGATCGCAGGGCCTTTGGCGACGTTCTTTTCGTCCTCACTGTCCACGGATATAGTGCCGGAAGATTGGAGAGAGGCAAACGTCATTCCCTTGTTCAAAAAAGGGAATAGGGATAACCCTGGAAATTACAGGCCAGTTAGTCTTACATCAGTGGTGGGCAAATCATTGGAAAGGGCTCTAAGAGGTAGGATTTATGATCACTTGGAAAGGCACAGTTTGATTCGTGATAGTCAGCATGGATTTGTGAGGGGTAGATCATGCCTCACAAACCTTATTGAATTCTTTGAAGAGGTGACCAAACACGTGGATGAAGGTAGAGCAGTGGATGTGGTATACATGGATTTAAGTGAGGCGTTTGATAAGGTTCCCCATGGTAGGCTCATGCAGAAGGTAAGGAGGCATGGGATAGGGGGAAATGTGGCAGATTGGATTCAGAATTGGCTGACCCTTAGAAGACAAAGTGTGGTAGTGGATGGAAAATATTCAACATGGTGCTCAGTTACGAGTGGTGTACCACAAGGATCTGTCCTGGGTCCTCTACTATTTGTGATTTTTGTAAATGATTTGGATGAAGGAGTGGAAGGGTGGATTAGCAAGTTCACGGACGATACGAAGGTGGGTCGCGTTGTGGACAGTGTGGAGGGCTGTTTTAGGTTACAAAGGGACATTGATAGGATGCAGAGCTGGGCTGAGAAGTGGCAGATGGAGTTAACCCTGAAAAGTGTGAGGTGATTCATTTTGGAAGGACAAACTTGAAAGCAAATACAGGGTTAATGGAAAGATTCTTGGCAGTGTGGAGGAGCAGAGGGATCTTGGGTTCATGTTCACAGTTCCCTGAAAGCTGCCACCCAGGTGGATAGAGTTGTTAAGAAGGCGTATGGTGTGTTAGCTTTCATTAATAGAGGGATTGAGTTCAAGAGCCGTGAAGTTATGCTCCAGCTATACAAAAGCCTGGTTCGGCCACATCTGGAGTATTGTGTCCAGTTCTGGTCGCCTCATTACAGGAAAGCTGTGGAGGCATTGGAAAAGGTGCAGAGGAGATTTACCAGGATGTTGCCTGGAATGGAGGGAAGGTCTTACGAGGAAAAGTTGACTCTTTAGAACGACGAAGGATGAGAGGTGACTTGAATGAGGTGTACAAAATGATCAGAGGTATAGATAGAGTGGACAGCCAGAGACTTTTTCCTAGGGTGGAGGTAGCTATTATGAGGGGGCATAGTTTTAAAGTGAGTGGAGGTAGATATAGGGGAGACGTCAGAGGTAGGTTCTTTATTCAGAGAGTGGTAGGGGCGTGGAATGCATTGCCAGAGAGGGTAGTGGAGTCAGTCTCATTAGAGGCATTTAAGCGGCTATTAGATAGGCATATGGATGATCGTATAAGGTAGGGGTGGAGGTTAGATAGACCTTAGGATTAGGGTAAAAGTTCGGCACAACATCGTGGGCCGAAGAGCCTATACTGTTCTATGTTCTAAATCGCACTCACTTTCAAAACGCATGTGAATAATTATTGCTTGGGCAAGGATCAGTGAGCAATTATTGTTATTACAATGAATTGACCACTTTCTGGAGAAATTGGAAGAGAACAAAACTGAGAGAAATGAAAAGTAAAGTGGTGCAGATTCATTATTAGACCATAAGACCAGAAGATATAGGAGCAGAAATTAGGCCACTTGGCCCAAATTTGAGGTACTTAATCTACCAGATGTGACTGCCTCCTGAATCAAAGCGTCAGGTAACTCTCCCGCTCTGGTTATTGTTGCCTCTCCTCAATCCTTTAATGATTTAGAAAAGTTTTCTGAAACTTCAGTTGGATGGCAAGCACAATGCCCAAGTCTGAATCAAAAACAGAAATTGTTGAAGAAACTCAGCAGGTCTGGCAGCATCTGTGGAGAGAAAACAGATATAATGTTTACTCCTGTGATCCTTCTTCAAAATGAGTTCACTTGAGTAAATTTCAATGTCAAACTCTGGTCTGTCCTGCAATGATCCACTGGGTAAAGGCATTAATTCCTGACCTATGCCAGTCCTGGTAACAGTTCTGACACTGGGTCACAGGACTCAAAACATTAACTCCGTTTCTCTCCACAGATGCTGCCATATTTGTTGAGTTTCTCCAGCAATTTCAGTTTATTTCAGATTTCCAACATCCACAGTTCTTTATTTTACTTTTGTCAAAGACTGGATATTTGTCTTTGACACCAGTAATCAATAGGTACTCCTGAACTACCCATTGCTCCAAATGTGCCCCATTCAATTTTGATATAATGATACATAAATTTGTTCAAACTCACATCATTTTCATCCATTCAATTTTTTTTTGTTTTTGCTTTCTCTTGATGTCTTGTTTTCTTTGGAGGGTACAATGGTGAAATGTTGCTCTTTTTCTGTTAGGCTCAAACTCCATATAATCTATTGTGGTTCCAAGGTACTGAACAAAACCCAAAAGAAATTTCATGTGAATCTAATTAATAAACAAAACATTAAAGCCTTTACATACAATGGATAAAACTAGATTTACCAAACAATGAATAACATCAATTTAGGATTTGTTTTCTATCGGGTCACAAAGTGTGGAAATTGCACTCATCATGAATTATTACATAGAATTAGATATAAATTATAATATTGGAACAAGTAGTTCAATCCACCCAAACATTCATACAATCCATATGAGTATTGATCCCAATCCCATGTATTCATCCTGTTCCTATTTATTTTCTTTTTCCTCTAACCATCTATCTTAATCCATTGTTAAATGTTGACATGATCATTTCCTCAGTCACTATTCTAGTAGTGCACTGCATGACCTCACAAACCTTTGGATGAAAGAGTGTTTCTGTTACTGTCTGTTCCGTAGTCATTTAACATAAATTCTGCATAACACTGTAAATTAATTTACCCTTATTGCCAAGTATTTACTTATTCAATTGAGGAGAAAGAAACTTAAACAGAATACACAGGTTTGCCTTGTTAGAAGAGGGCAAGATACAGATCAAGTTAGAGTGTGAACTAAGTAGCATAACATAAACAACATTCTCATCGGAATTAAATTCACAAAAAGAACAGAACAATAACCAACTACCCTTCCTAGGTGTAATGGTGGAATATAAGAACAACAGGACACAAATTTGACTGGGACAACACACCTATAATAGCACAAGCCAAACACAGACATGCCAGGGAATTCCTGGAGGCCTGGCATTCCAACTGGAACTCCATCAAGAAACACATTGAACTGTACCCGATATGCAAACCACCGAAAAACAAAAGTGGAAGTGATGCCAACCACGCCAGCAAACCGAGGCATATAACCGGGGCGGCACGGTGGCTCAGTGGTTAGCACTGCTACCTCACAGCACCAGGGACCTGGGTTCGATTCCACCCTCGGGTGACTGGCTGTGTGGAGTTTACACATTCTCCCCGTGTCTGCGTGGGTTTCCTCTGGGTGCTCCAGTTTCCTCCCACAGTCCAAAGATGTGCAGGCTAGGTGGATTGGCCATAATGTTCAGGGATGTGTGGATTATAGCGGGATGGGTCTGGGTGGGATGCTCTGAGATTTGGTGTGGACTTCTTGGGCCGAAGGGCCTGTTTCCACACTGTAGGGATTCTATGAAATAACAAGCAGGACAGAACACCAACGCTTCATGGGAGGAACACTGACGATGTCACCTAGCAGGGTGACGAAACGTCTGCAATCAAACACACCGGCTCAGCAAGCATGTCTGCAACCCAAGCTACAAATCTTTGATATGCAATCTTAATTTTGGCTGGAACTATTTTTTTAGTACTCCTAACAATAAACATACAAAAGAATCTTTTTTATCTTTTATTTAACTGTAATCATCCTGCCTCAGGATTAACCTTTATACGTATTCAACTGTAACCACCAACAGTCAGGGATAATCTTATATATACTCAACTGTGAATATCCTACCTCAGGATTAATCATCTGTACACTCATCTAGCACCACCTGTGTTTGGGATATGCACAATTCTTATATTATCATACAATTTCAAGATAATTTTCACACACTGACCCAGAGTTAGCGGTCAGCTGTAAATCAAGAACACTGCAGACCTCAAAGTAAGCAATGCTGAGAGATTAAGCTGTCTGCCTGGCAGCAATTTCACCTCATTGGAGTGCAGCAGTATTGAACAAGATTCAACATTTTATAATTTTTCTATGTAGGAGCAAGAAACTTGAAGTCCTCGATGATGTCAATGATTGCCAATTTGGGGATGATTCACTGTGCAACCTGGGGTCAGAATCCTGAGTGGCAGACTGCATCTTCAGGATTTCCATGCTAATTTACGTGTGCCCCACATCCTGAAGTTGTGATCAGCATCGGAGAGGCAATACTAGAGAATGTTGATAGTTCACTAACATATACCTGGAGTAAAATCATAGCCTCAACAGCCTGCCTGTCATAGAAGTCAGAAACACTTAGCTATCACCATCTCACTGAAGGATGCATCTCAGATACCCTAATTGTCATCATGCACTTTAGATCCAATTACCTAAATTAAGTTACTCTGTAAGGACCCATCTTATGCTTCTCTCCACTTAGGACACTAACAATATTACAACAAATGAAAAACCCTAAACTAATTTAACAATTCAAGTCATGTTTTGCCTAATATTTGTACATTAGAGTTTTATGCTAGCCCAAGTAATTTCTGCATATGTCTTAATATGTCTTAACTGTCAGTTAAATGCCCCATAAATTGAGGTCTCCTAGTAGGTTAGATATATACAGCTTATTTCCTATGTTTTTGGAAATTGAGATTTAACCTTGTCTGAAAGGCTTCTCCAATCATTATTCTCCAATCGCTTGTACCATCCACTGTGATCATCTTCCTTATTTTTTACAGAGTTATAGTTGTGAATTTGTCTGGGTAGTTTCTGTTTGGCAGCAGGATGTGTATAATCTTTCGGACTGTTTGCACATAGATCCACAATTGGTCGATGAGTGAATATTTTGTAGTAGATTTTTGGAGGAAATGTTTCCTATAAAGCAGATAAGGAAAGAAAAACAAAAAAAAGACTACTTTTGGTGCACTTTACATGATTGCAAGACATTGAAAAGCACTTTAATTCAATGAAGTACTTTTGAAGAACTATCACTGTTAACCATGGTCATTAAACCCTCTGGATATTATTGATTTCCTTGTCTGCTCTTTGGTATCACATTCATAGTGATTGTAATGAGATCATTCAGGTGGACCTCATAGAATATGAGTTCCCTGACTGGGGCTGTTAATCTGGTCTGATCAGGGAGCCCTGGCTGACAGATTAAAAACAGGCATGTCAGACATCCTATCACTCAGAGCTAGCTTTGAGGGACCTGGAACAGTGCCAAGGACTTTCCACGTGTAAATAAAGGGTGACTTGTTGATGGGATACCCACCTCTGTGGAGTTATTTCAACTTCTACACCGGAGAGTTTCCAGTGAACGTTGCCCAACATACTAGAAGCCATGAAAGACATTGTATGCCATATAAATGACATTCTCATCCATGGATCTACTAAAGCGCAACATGATGATAGAATAAGGACAGTCTTGACTAAGTTATAAGATGCTGAGTTGAAATTTATTAAGTGTGAATTCTCTAAACTGATGATTAAAATTTTGGGCCATGTTGTTCATGCAACAGGAATAACGGCAGACCCTGAGAAGACAGGAGCTATCATGACATCCAAAAAAATACTACCTAAAAATATCAGGGACACCCCAATAGTTCATGGGAATGGTAAACCAGATGTGAAAGTTCTTACTTCATTCAGCTCAAATTAATGAACCTCTCAGACAACAGTTGAAACAAGATCCAGCATGGTGTGGGAGTAAATATCAACTCCATGCATTTCACAGATTAAACAAATGCTCATTTTGACCAAAGTCCTTGCACATCATGATCTGGTCACACTAATGATAGATGTATCATCCACTGGTCTAGGATCAACATTACGAGGCTCACAATCTACCGATTCTAAAACAAAATCCCATGTGTGGTTCCAGGACAAGCAGAATACAGGAACAGTAACAGCATGGATTTATCAACCCAAATCATAATGTTGAGTAAAGGATTAATTTTACCTTTATTCTAGGATAGCAACTGGTTTGTACAAAACTGTAGTGTCTGAGTCTGTAGGGCTCCAGATAAAATGGCTTCTTTTAGCATCATCTCTATATAAATAAAGTTTACTTAGATGAGTTTGGATCTCATCTTCCTCCAAACAGGCAACTGCTGTATACTTGGAGACTGGTGCACTAAGTAAGGTAATTTCTTGCTGGAAAGATTAATCTTTACTAAGGTGAAGATGCAGGTTAGTGTCACGGCCTAGGCTTGGCGGTGGTTATTTTGGCAGTACTGGGCATGTGAACGTGCCATCCTCCTACAACAGGAATGTCAAATTTCCAGACTTTGGGAATTGAAAGGCACTGCAAAAGTACCTTAAGTGTCATTCTGCTGAACCGGCATTGTTCAACAGCATCTGGGCATTGTCAGACAAGATCTAATGAAAATGCCATGTAAATATTTGGCATTACATGTTAACATAATTTCAAGTCAACTATTTCTAAATAAATTAATTTCATGAACAAACATACGTAACATCCAAATTATTCCCACACCAATAAACTGGAATGGTCAAAAGTGCAATGTTCCATCAGTGCAAAAGAAAACAAAGATCACTTACTCCTCCAAGTCTGAATCGGACATGAACTCCAGCGGCACTGTCCAGCAATTCTGCCTGTGAATATGTACCAGCAATAAATTTCAATTATGCTGTCTCAATTTTCTATAATCATCATCCGTATAGGTTTTAAATTTAACTGTGTAGAGTCACAATCTGTGTGCAAATTGCAACCATGTTTTATTTAAGACACAGAAAGCTATTAAATTGCACAGAACCCCTGATCACCCAAAACAGAGAGACAGAGTACAAAAATGTAAACTTACCAAAGGATCTCGTGTCATTATTTATAAGTGGGATAATGGGCAAGACTTGTATTCTGGATTTTGAGTCAGCACCCCAATTTCTGGGTGATGCTGTGCAAACAGGAATGATAACTTTACACTGTGTGGGGAATAGTCAGTTTCATGGTGAATTTCCCCACATTTGCCAATTAGTGTCCAGAGTGTGTGTTCATTGCCAATTGCAGGCAAGTTCTATTTCCCATCCAGCATCCCAAAATAGATCTTAATTAATCTATTAATCCATGTTGATGGGCTTATCCATCCCTACTCCCACTTCCACTCGTTGGTAGGTAGCCCCACTGACTGAAACTATCCCTCCAGGAAAGTGACCCAGATAGTGGATGTTGCCAGCAAATGGTAACTTGGCCGCATGGATTCAGAATTGGCTTGCCCATAGAAGACAGAGGGTATTGGTGAAAGGGTGTTTCTCAGGCTGGAGGTCTGTGACTAGTGGTATTCTGCTATAGAGTCATAGAATCCCCACAGTGTGGAAACAGGCCCTTCAGCCCAACAAGTCCACACCGACCTCAGAGCATCCCACCCAGACCCATTCCCCTATAATCCACCTAACCTACACATCCCTGACCACTACAGGCAATTTAGCATGGCCAATCCACCTAGCCTGCACATCTTTGGACTGTTTGTGATATGTATAAATGATTTAATGAAAATGTAGATAGGTGGGTTAGTAAGTTTGCAGACAATACAAGGATCAGTGGAGTTGTGGATAGAGTAGAAGGTTGTCAAAGGATACAGAGGGATATAGATCAGTTGCAGATATGGGTGGAGAAATGGTTAAATTTGGGTAAGGGTGAGGTGCTGCACTTTGGGAGATAAAATGTTAAGGAAAAGTATACAGTTAATGGCAGGACTCTAAACAGCATTGATGGACAGAAGGATCTTGGAGTTTAAGTTTATAGCTCCCTGAAAGTAGCCACGCAAGTAGATAGGGTTGTACAGAATGCATATGGCATGCTTGCCTTTATTGATTGGGGAATTGAATACAAGAGTGAGGATGTCATGTTACAGCTTTATAAGACTTTGGTTAGGCTGCATTTAGAGTATTGCGTTCAATTCTGGTCGCCACAACACAGGAAGGGTTGTAGAGGCTTTGGAGAGGGTGCAGAAGAGGTTTACAAAGATGCTGCCTAAATTAGAGGGTATGAACTTTAAGGAGAGGCTAGAAAAACTTGGATGTTTTCTCCAGAGTGGCAGAGGCTAAGGCGAGACTTGATAGAATCTACAAAATTATGAGACGCATAGATAGAGTTGACGGTCAGAATCTTTTCCCAGAGTTGAAATGTTTAATACTAGGGGGCATGCATTTAATGTTAGAGGGGGAAAGTTCAAAGGGGCCGTGAGAGACAATTTTTTATACAGAGAGTGGTAGTAGTCTAGAACACACTGCCAGGGGTGGTGGTGGAGACAGATACAATAGAGGCATTTAAGGGACTTTTAGATAAGCATATGAATATACAAGGAATGGAGGGATATGGACCAATGGCAGGCGGTTCAGATTTGTTTCATTTAGCATCACATTCGGCACAACATTGTGGGCTGAAGAGCCCATTCCTGCACTGTACAGTTCTATGTTCTATGTTCAGACTGCCTGATGACATGAATGTGCATCCATACACATCCTAGTCCAGCCCAATATCTTCCCATTTGCCCACCGTCTCTTAACCCACCACTGACTAATATTGTACACAGTATTTGCACACAGCACTCTGGATATGGTCTTCCCAGTGACCTATATAAGTGAAGCATAATTTCCTTCTTTTGTATGCAATTCACCTCACAATAAACAATATCATTAGATTTCCTAGAAAAACAATAGATTTCCTAATTACTTGTACCGCACACTCGCCTTTTGCAAATCCTGCAGTAGGGCATCCAGATCCCTCTGTAACTTCTCAGCATTTAGATTATATGATAATAGAATGAAATCTTGCTTCCAGTGATTTTTTATTCCACTCGTGAGATATGGTTGTCACTTGCTAGGCCAGCATTTATTACCCATTTTCTGTAGCCCTTGAGAATGACATACAAATATTTTACAAGCAGGAAATCACCACAGGATGGTGTGAACCAGTCATCAGGACAGCAACATTTCAACTCCCACCTAATTAAATCACCCTGCTTGCCATGTTTCCTGGTCTTGTAGGCCCCAGAAAATCTCCCCACTAATGGACTTTCTTACCTCGATTGGGTTAATACATTTCATCATAAATCGAGGGTTTCCTTGTCCTCTGAAATTAATCATATTCTTGTAATGCTTAAAGAGCTGTGTATCCTGCAAACAGCAAAACAAATTTTATAAATATCATTTATAATCTCAAAAACTAAATACAAATTCCTCAAAAAGGATGAATCTGTTAATTTAACTTGAATTGGGGGGTGCAGGAGCAAGTGTTTCATATTTAAATTGCGTTTTATTATTGAGGTACATATGTAGTTGATGAATTTTAGTCGTTGGGATTTTTTAAAAAATGTGATCTTTAGTTTCAATGGGGCTTCTCCCAGATGCTCACTGCAACCATTGTAGAAGATATACAGAAACCATGGACAAGAATTTGGGTACAATTTTCCACAACCTTGAGTGGTATATGTAACAGTGGGAAAGGTGGGTAAATACGGTGAAAATGAAAAGAAATCAGAAACTCAATGTTAAGAAAAAATATTTTCTGATTTTCCACTCAATATTTTAAACAGAGAGTTCAGAACCTCACTAATAAGAGGTGACTACCTTATTTCTATATATCTCCACTTGGGGGAAAATGGTGGTTTAGTAGTGATGTCTTGGACTCATAATCCAGAACTCCAGGCTGGATCATTTCTCAGTGAGTAGGCTCTTTGGTGATAAGTTACAGGCCATCAGCCAGTCTGCGTTGAATTGTTTTTTAGTGCACAAGCTCTTCGGTGCTAATTTATAGGCTGTCAGCCTGTATGCCTTGCATTGCTTTTTAGTGCAGACAGAAAGGTAGACAGATTGATAATATTTAGAACACTGAACAGTTAAAAGGGGTGGAGATGGGGTGATTGTACTGTGCAACATCAATATCACACCCACATAAGCCAGCAACATACGCAGCTTACACAGCTTACGCACACTCCATATGCTCCAAGCAAATGGCCAGATCTGAAAGTCAAAGGGGTCAGTGGAGTCAAGGTGGCCTATGGATAATCGGGGGGTAGCCACCAGAGTTAGTCAAAGGTCTCATTTCATTCCAGTCCAGGGGTCTGTCAGTCAGGCAAGTGCTAATCTGTGAATCAGTGACTTTGCAGTCAAAAATTGGGCCACACTCAGTCCTGAAGGTCAAGTCCAGTTCACTGACATTCAGTTAGGTTTTGCCAGGGACACTCAGCTCCTCACCTCATGACAGCCTTGGCTCAAACATGGACAAACGAACTGAATTCCAGAGATGAGGTGAATGTGGCTGCCCTTGACATCAAGGCCATTATTGACCAAGTGTGGCATCAAGGCACACTAGCAAATCTGCATTCCCCATGGCTAATCCACCTAGCCTGCACATCCCTGGACGCTATGGGCGATTTAGTATGGCCAATCCACCTAACCTGTCGCCTGAGGGTGGAATCAGACCCAGGTCCCTAGTGCTGTGAGGCAGCAGTGCTAATCACTGACCCAACTGCAAAACCATTAGACAGGGTGGCACGGTCAGTCATCTCAGCTCTAGGACACATCTGCAGGCAATCCGCAGGATAAAGTCATAGGTCCAATCATCTTCAGCTGCTTCATCAATGATTTTTCCTCCATCATAAGTTAAGAAGGCAGCTCATACTACTTTCTCAAGGGCACCTAAGGATGGGTAATAAATGCTGGCTTAGTCCCACAAATGATTCATTTATAAAGTGCTGCCAGTCTGGGGATCACAGGTAGGTCAGTTGGGTTACTATGGAGACACAAGTCTGGAGCTAGTTCATTCTCAGTCAGGACTATTCTACCAGATCATTCTTAAGAGGCGTGAGGATTTGGACATTAACAGTCAGGGACCCATCTATAGTGTCCTGGGGAAAGCAGATAACTCAAGTCTGGGACGGGGCTCATTAAACTTGGTTGATAATGGAATGATAATAGTAGAAAGAAGAAATTCAAGATAGAAGGACAAGATCTCAGAGAACCAGAGGAGAGGGGAGTCTTGGAGTGGAAATTTTCACAAGCCACCATCACTCTGGCCTCTGCCTGAGCATTGCATGGCAATTTACAAAGTCACGTGTTCAGGGGGTAACTTGTCTATATAAATAGTTACAGAAAGGGACTGAACGGAAACTGGGAGTCTGAAATATAATTAGGGACAGCAACACAAAAGAAAACATGAAGAATGGGGTGGGAGGGATGTAGGTTATCATCCTGCACCTCAGGTGGAGTCTACAAGTCGCTCACAGAGGCACTAAATTGAAATAGTTCCATCTTTGCCAGTCAACTGCACAATACTGGTAAAAAATAACTGTTACCACACACAGAGTGAGCAGATTAAGTTACAGTTTTTCTGTTTGGGAGTAAAGTATAATTCTTTCAATTTGGGGCCCTTCGAGGGACAATTGCATTAATCACACATCTACTGATTCAGTAATGAGACCCATCTGGCATCAAATTGCAATTAATTTGGAAGATCATTCTTCTCCACAGCGCAAATTTTAAAAATTATAGCTTTAAGAGATCATGACCATTACATAGTTTGCACTAATTGTCTCCTTATAATGTCAGATTTGCACATCTGACCAGTTGTAAACTTGTAAGTTTCACCTGGGTTTGCTACTTCTGACTCAAATTTTATACCTGACACTGGAACAAAACACTTCAGAACTGGCACACTTACATACTGAGACATTTAAACGTGGCTTTATTGGGAGGAGGAGTAGCATGAATATTTTCATATTAAATAACCTATCTGGGTGAGGTTACCTACCTCAGAACTCCATATAAACCATCAAATTGGCTTCCTTGCAAAGTCTCCAAGCCACATTGCATCAGGGAATAACGCGACATTTCACTGGGATTGAAATGAGGGCGCTACAGAAATGTTGTTCTCTTTCTGACATTCCTCTTGGATTATTGGCTCACGTATCTGATATAAACCTCACTTATTGGATTCCTTGTGCCCTTGTTTCACAGACAAAGACAGCACTTAAGGACAGAGCAATTACAATGCTGTCATCAAGTCCAGCAAGCACAGCAACCTTCATCAGCTGCCTCACACCTCCAGAGGCAGAAGCAGCGTAAAGATCCCCTGAGAAGGCCAAGCAGAATCACCATAACCTACGTCTACAGGCCTCACCCTTATTTTCTACAACTCTCCAAAACAGTACAGATACAGACAACAGTACAGGGTCATCATCATTGAGCTGTCATCTGCTGGAGTGGGATTTGAATTTAGAAAGAAGGTTTGGCCGTTCCATCCCATTGGTCGTCAAGATTACAACTGCTTTTAATTTTTATGCCAACAGTTTGTTTCAAGGAGCAACTGGACATGGGTGTGGCATCTCCCAGTCCTCGATCCACAAATGCGTCCATGATATCAATTCTCCACCAATGCTGGTGTCCCTAAACTGCAGAGAACTATAAACTTCACCCATGGTACTTTAAGTCACCACCTTGTAGAGTTCATCAATGAAAAAGACTCCTATTCTATCAATATTCAACTTATCTGTGACCATTGATGCCTGATTTTGGAGGCATGCACCAGAAATTCTGGGAGCTGCCATCATGCATATGTGCAGGTTCCTGCCTTCTTCCAAGGTCTTTGTGCCATACGGGATGGCTGCTGGGAGACAAGAGCTATCATCTCCAAATATTGCTCATGAAACCTTTACAAAACCCTCAGACTGATGCAGAACAAAGATACAACTCTGTCCATACTTTCGCCAATGGAAAAGACCATAAAGCCTCCTTACATTTTGATGCCTGGACAATCCTGGTTCAGCCTGCACTACAGCCCAGAAATGGTGATCTGCATCATTGAATTAGCTTTATTGTCACGTACTCGCAGGAGTACAGTGAAAGGTTTACAAGTCACCACTTATGGCGCCATCTTAGGTTCAAAGGTACCTAGATAGATTCTTGAATACAAATTCTGAGGGGAAAATATAGAAAAATAAGGGAATAAGAAGTCCAGCATTACAGACATTCAAAAGTACAAAATCACAGTAATAAATTAGAATGAAAAAATTCAGAATAATAGTCCCATAATAATAAAAAAAGAAATTAAAAGAGAAATTAGCCGATTTCATGGCTCTGGGCTCGAGGACCCATGTGGCCCCATTGGAATCCTGGGCCGGATGCCCATGATGCTGAAGAAAAGGTGCATGGAGTCACAGACTGACACCAAAGCCACCACAGGAATCCTAGGCCACTGCCGAAGATGCTGAAAGGAATCCCAGGCCAGTCATTGGAATCCCAGGCCCGCACCCTCCTCAAAGCTGTTGCCAAAGCAGCACAGTTGAAGATCCCACCAAGACCCAGCCACAAAGAATGGCTGAATCCATACCATTTTCCACTGAATCAGCCTATTGGAGCCTCCTTCCTTACCTGAAGCCACCAAAAGAAGGTAAGATGAACTTGGTGTTAGAAAAAAAAATTTAAAAACGGATGCAGCAGGCGTGGCGATAGAAGCAGGGAGGTCAGCAGAGCAAGCACTTTTGACCCTGCCACCCACGATCTTGATGCATAGATCTATATATCATTGTGCCAAGCTGTGCCCTTCACAACTGGAGCTGACAAAGGGAATATTCTGGATGCCAATGAAATGGAGGATCAACTGAAATCTTCCAGGGATGAAATAGAGGACCAGCATCAGGACCTTCACTAGGAAATCCAAAAAAGTGTGCAATTTCAAGTTCACAAAGCCATAGAGAATCTAAATGAAACCCACTTCCAGGGGAAATGAGCTGGGTTTCGATTTCTTTTCTTTGTGTAGCTTTCAGTAGTTATTTGGTATATGCTCAGCAATAACCTGCTCAGTGATGCCCAGTTTGGGTACCACCAGGGCCACTCAGCGCCTGACCTCATTACAACCTTGGTTCAAACATGGACAAAAAGAACTGAATTCCAGAGGTGAGGTGACAGTGATAGCCTTTGACATCAAGGCTGCATTTGACCAAATGTGGCATCAAGGAGCCCCAGCAAAGCTGGAATCAATGGGTATCGGGGGCAAACTCTCCAGTGGTTGGAGTCATACCTGACACAAAAGAAGATGGTCGTGGTTGTCGGAGGTCAATCATCTCAGCTCCAGGACATCTCTGCAGGAGTTCCTCAGGATAGTGTCCTCGGCCCAA